TATATACGTGTATATGTGTATGTGTGTGTATATGTATGTGTGTGTGTGTGTGTGTGTATATATATATATATATTTGTGTTTCCAAATCAGGAATAGTTTTGTTTTTTTTTTTTAATTTTATTTTTAAGTCTAATTCTAAAAATGTCTTAAGTCAGTGGCTCTAAACTCTTTGGTAGTTATAAATTCCTCTGAGAATATAATGATAATTGTTGACGTTTAAAGGGTGCTTGTTGGATGCATCCTGCTATACTATGGGCTTTACATGCCAATGAAATGCTCACATTAAATCATCATAGCCACCCTATAAGATTACATCAATTACATTGAAACAGAGATTAAGTAACTTACTTGAAGTCACACAGCTAAATGATGGCTTGGGATACAAATCCTGGCAGTTTGACTCCAAAGTCCACTGTACTATAAAAACCAGTTGCTATCCAGTGGACTACAACTCATGGGAAACCCACGTGTGTCAGAGTAGAACTGTGCTCCATATAGTTTTTAGTGGCTGATTTTCTGGAAGTAAATCACCAGATCTTTCTTCCATGGCACTTCTGAGTGAACTCAAAGTTCTAAAGTTTCAGTTAGCAAGTGAATATGTTAACCAGCTCTGGTGGCATAATGCCTAAGGCATTTGACTGCAAACCAGAAGGCTGGAGATTCAAACCCACCAGCCACTCCTCCGAAGGAATATTGGGCAATCTGCTTCCATATTATTACTTCCTTGGAAACTGGACGGGTCACTACGAGTTGAGTTGACTTGATGGAAATGAGTTTGGTTTTTTGGTTTTATACATAACATGCTTTTTTGGTAAATGTTATGTGAAAAATGTTATTATGTAGCAAACATTTGCATGGAATTTTAGGAAATTCATAGACTACCTTCTGTAACTCATCCATGGGTCCAGGTACTTTTAAGGGATGGATCAGTGACAGACAAAGTTGCTCACCCAGACAATGGGACTGATCTGTTTGTTTTTGCATTCATTATGGCATTGTAGATCAAGAGATCAAGTTTTTAATGTTACTTACTGCAGGTATATTTAAATTTTGAAAAAGTTTAGCAGCATTTGGAGTTGTGAGAAATCAGTAGTGGAGTTTATTACTCAGTTTATAAAACTGTCACAAAATGGAAAAGAGACTTAATAGAAGAAAATTGTATATAGGTTATAATCTGAACTCTGAAAATAGTTTGAGAACAATTTAATTGCACTCGCGTGTGGCTTTTTTTTTTTACATGTATAAAATGCAAATAAAATTAAGTTTATAGACTTTCTCACTTTATAAGAAACTTTATAAGAAACACCATTTTCTGTCCTTTTAATTCAGGACAGCCTGGGACCGCTGGCACTGAAGCTAGATTAAAACCCTAATTTTAACAGAAACACCATGGGCAGTTCTGCTCTATCAAGTTGGGTTGCTATGAGTCAGAATCAACTCAACAGTGCACAGAAACAACAAGATCTTTTACAAATCACCAGTCCATATAAGTTCATTCTTACTGATAATTCCAGATCATGGACATCTGCAGAAATGAAAGGTGTCAGGATGACAACAGAGGGCAGAGGAGAAACCTTCTGCCAAGTATCCCCTAGCCAGGAACTCCCAGTGAAAATGTTGGCTTATTTCTGGGTTAATGTACTTAATGCTTTAAATGATCTAATGACTCTCTTTAATGAGTTCTAGATAACACTAGGATAAAAAATAGTGATATTTCAAGTGAAGCACATGGAACGTTTTTGGAATTCCTTGCAGTTAAACACAAATAAGCACCTGGCCACTATCCCCCATTCCTATCTCTGGACCATTGGCTCTATAAAGCATAGAATAAAAATCTCTCAAATTTTACGGAAACAGCTTATTTTAGTAAGTATTTTCTAGTTGAAACAAAAACAGTTATCCAACACAGCAGTGACCCATTTTCTAAATTCACATTGCCAAAAGTATTTGATTCATCCTCTAAAATGTTTCACCCAATTCTCCCCTTCGCTGTGTTACAGTAATGTGTTCTGTGGATCTCCAAAGGACTTTCTTTTGAATCAGAATTACAGAAGCTGGTCCAGCAATCTTATGTAAACTGTCTCCTGGCAGATTGAAGGAAAATAAATGAAGTCAAAAAGTCCCTCTTCATAACTTCAATTATACAAATAAAGCATTAGGACAAAAATCCTGACCGAAAAGGTGAACAATGGACTTAAATCAAGGCAAATGTATCCTGAACAAGTGGATTATGGAAACTGAAGCTAAGAAAAATAAAAAGCCTTTCAGAGAGCATTTGTAGCCTTGCCTGTGTGTAAAGGGGAACCCTGGTGGGAATGTAGCCAGTTGGGCTGGAGTAGAACAGAGGAGTAGATGATAATAAGTGGTAATGTAGCAGGGCATAATCCACCCATCTTTCCCAGTCCAAGTGTCCAACCCACTGCCATGCAATCTATTCCGACTCGTAGTACCCATAGAACAGAGTAGAACTGCCCCCATAAGGTTTACAAGGTTGTCAGTCTTACAGGAGCTGACTGCCTCATCTTTCTTCCACAGAACTGCTGGTGAGTTCGAACTGCTGACCTTTTCTTTAGCAGCCCAATGCATTAACCACTGCACCACTAAAGCTCCTTCAAGCATCCAAATGAGTTTTTATTAGACTCTAAAGTACTCTGGTAGCATAGTTCCTAAGGCACTTGACTGTTAACCAGAAGGCTGGTGGTTCAAACCCATCAGCCACTCCTTGGAAGGAAGGTTGGGCAATCTACTTCCGTAGTGATACTGCCTCAGAAACCCAAGGAGGGGTCGCTATGAGTCGGGGCCGACT